ATTCAACATCATTCCGGAAAAAACTCTTTGGGGAATTCGTATACTCGCAGTTTTCTTCGTCTTTCCTCGCCGTCAAAGAGGTTAACGCGTCTTTCTTTGCCCTCGCCTATGTTAAGAGTCCTCCGCCGAAATTTTTTTACGCGTCTTTTTTCGCTGTCAAATTTTGAGTCCGCGTCTTTATTCGTATCTAATGACGATATGTATGTATGTACAGTAAAATGAATCGTTATACGCAGTTAATTTGTTTTTATTGTACTAGCTTTGTTTTACTTTTACTAAATGTTATGCTAGCTATGTTTTTAATAAATTTGACATTGAAAAAAAAATTATGAAACTCAAAAAAATATTTGATAGGTTTTGGTTGGTTATGGTAGGAAATTTTGGTAGGAAAAAAAATGTGCCTGTGGCAACGCTGGTCAGGTCCCAATATAAAGCCTTGAGCTGCTACTACTGAAAGTGGTTTAACTCTCGTGCCGTCCGCTGTTTCGTATTTGATCGGGCAGTTACTGGATAATCTGGTGAAGGTACTCCGGTACTTTAAAGCCATGTTCCATTGCGTTCATCACATCAGTCCATCTAACCGAGTTAAAGGCGTTGTTGACGTCTAATATGAGCAGTAGATATATGGGGCGAGAGAAATGATTTTCGCGCTCCGTGCTCTTGGCCGCTTCTATTACCTCCTGTAAAGCGTGAATTGTTGACCTCCCTCTTCGGAATCCAAACTGGCTGTTTGACAGGTTTCCGGCATCTTTGAATGCAGAGAAGAGGCACTCTCTCGATAGTTTTTCCAGGGGTTTATCCGCTTTATCCAACATGCACAAAGGCTTGTATGATGATATGTTTGCCACTTTCCAGCAGTCGCGGAATATTTGCACCCTTAGGCAGGCATTTTACATTTTCAACGGGTGGTTTCGATGCCTATTAGCTGTAGATTTTAAGACTTCTGTCGGGAGACCCAATTCCCAAGCCGTGTGAGTCACTTCCTGCAATGTAAAAGGGGGATATTCTGAGGTATTCCTGGGTGGTCCACTAGGTCTAGGAGGATGCGTAGCGAATAGAATATCCACGATGGCTTCGGTTGTCGCAGTTTCTAAGGTAGATTCACTCTGAACGCTTTTAAATAGTTGCGAAGGACTACTTTATACCTTAAACCCCAAGGGTCATTATTGATAACTTCCCCCAAACGTTTCAGGGATCTCCTCTTGCTTATTTTATGTCACGATGGAGTTCATGCTCTGCCGATTTATGTTCATCAATATTCGAGGCTACGTCGCCACAGAAGTTATTGAGCAAAATTTAAGAAGTTACCATATTATTTTAAGTAAATTCTTAATGTAATGTTTAGGTCAAGCAGAGTAGAGAGTTGATTTTAAATTTAAAAAACAAATCGTAGAAAATCTACTCCGATCGGAGCAAAGTCCGGACGCTGAGCTGCAGTTAAAACAGGTAGCCAATGTATTTGCCACACAACTCTAACACCTGCTGTCAGAAATCACTCTTCAACAAAACGACATACGCGAGCAGTGGAACCACATTTCCAGCTCCCTAAGTACCGCTGCCGAAGAAGTAATTCGATTTAATCGAAGGCCGAACGCAATTCCATGCCGCTGCAGAGAAAAAGATGCCGCCAACTAGGCACGTTGCGATCGGGCACAATACGAACCAAACGTATTTTCCTTAATAAAAAGATATCGGCTGAAGGCCCGCGAGCGTCGAGAGTTGGAAATTCTAGCTGACAGTAAAAAAGTCACAACTGCTTCCAGAAAGTTAGGCCACTTACCGAGGGTTTCAGGTTAGATTACGTTGCAATGGCTAGGGAGAATAATTTCCCCTACACTAGAGCCAAAGGGATACCCATTGTGTGGCCATATGCAAATTTCGCTTCCCAACAATGTTGCGATACTCGCGCGGTATCAAACCATTTCATTTAAGCTATGCACTTTGATTGTGCTCTAATGTTGATTTATGGTACCTCCGCAAGGTTTTATAAATATAGCTTACCAAGCAGCAAAGTGCCGAGCAGTGGTAAAGGAGGTGCTGTACACTTTCTTCTTCTTCTTCGCATCTACAGCCGTAATCCACATTACCCAAACATTACCTACCGCCGCTGAAGAATAGAATAAGTCCGATTTCAACGAACCCGAAGGAACAATTGCTACGCTGAATCGGGCGCAAGGTGAGCTGCGTGCGACCGTTATAAGGAGCTGAAGAGGGAAGCGAGACGTATTTGCCACAATAAAAGGAGACAGAGGAAGGGTTGAAATACTGGGCGTTTATTAGAGAGTCGGGTGACTTTCGAAAGGTTTCCATACCGGGGCGAACTCCAGTGAGAACAACTATGGCAACCTAGTGACCGATGTCCAAAAAGTACTTAAATTATGGAGTGAACACTTTCCCTCACTACTGAATGGCAGTAACACTGAAAATGGTGGAGAAGACGAACCCGAGCACCCAGTCGATGATCGTATGGAGTCGATATCCCAACGCCTGACTATGACAATAAAGCTGCTGAAGCTGACAGCCTGCCACCTGAGCTATTCAAGCGTCTCGGCGAGGAGTTAGTAAGGACCTCTTATGCAGAATATGGTCGGATAAAAGGATCGCCACTCATCAACTAATTGTCGACTTCAAAGCCGTTTTCGACAGCACTCAAAGGAGTTACCTATACGCCGCGATGTCTGAATTTGATATCTCCGCGAAACTGATACGGCTGTGTAAAATGACGTCGAAGAATACCACTACCTCACACACAGCTGTGTGGATCGTTGAACTTTAAAAAACTTGTTTTAATTGTCTGGTATCTATGTGCGAGTATATGTATTTGCTTTCTTCCATTTTGTATTGACACTTTTGATGCAAGACTTTTAGCTTGAAGAGTAAATATTTACGTAAATTTCTTTTAAAAAATTGCTATTTATTTTAATTCTTAAATGCTGTAAACAATAACAGTGAAAACCATGCCATGTCTGCAAGACAAAGCTGTTTAAATTAGCAAAAGAACAAATTGCATAAATTAATTAAAAACAATTTAAATACATTTCAGTCCGCGTATTTTTATTATATAACGTGAACAATTACCAGATGTACTTATTTATGTCCAATCAAGCACATTCACCAAACCCATTATTATGTATAAGAAATAAGAAATTTTTCAATAAATACTGCCCACAGTGTAATTGAAGAAGCCCACATACTCCATACCGGCATGAAGGACTTCATTTCAATTTTAGGTAAGTTAAGTCGAAGTAATACTTCGCTACATGTAAAACTTAAAAAAACAAAACCCCTTTCCTTATAGAAATTTTACTCATATCACTGGCTTCGGCGTGCGCCCAATGTGCCGGCACTTGCCGAGTTAATGTGCCGAGCCAGTCAGTTTGCATTGTACAAATGGATCCGCAACAATGTCTTAAGATTAAGGAGTGCACACTTAATGAGTTGAATTGTTTTCGCTGGCGCCAAAAAATACCATGTAAGTGAGAAAAATTAAGTACACAATGAGTTGAAGTATAAACTTCTTTTCAAGTATAAATAACAACTCGTACAATATTTCAATTTACTTTGCTGCAGTGCTTAGTCGATCGCCTTTGGAACGTTGCAGCCATATAACAGGAGCCATTGGCAGTGGGCGTTGCACTACTGCCCTGGAGCAATGCCTGCGCGTAAATTGTGCAAATGATAAAGTGGTACGTTGTCAACGCGCAGGGAAAACTTGTCGCTTACTAACAAACTGTGAAGCGAAACGTGAAAATTGTCGTCGTCCTCCGGGCAGTCGTATGTGTTAGACAAAATTGAGAATTACTACAAAAAGACCTAAAATGTTTCTTTTTTCTTTCAGATTTGAAAGCCGTTCCTAGGCAGTCTTGTCAAGGCCTTAAACGTTCGGATGGTTTCAAGCCATGCAAACCGAAAAAGAGAAGAAGGAAATTAGGTTAGCTCACTCAGCCTAGTAGATGTCGCTTTGTATGGAAATGCTACAAGAAATATATATAGGACCTGCACTGCGTATTTTACGAATAAATTACAAAAAAAATCAATAATAAATATAAAGAATAAACTTTTCAATATAAAATCCAGAGAAATTCTATCAAAATGGCGCTTTCTCTCTATTGTCTTCTCTAGTTAGAAAAAATAGAGAAGACAATTTCTTAGACAATGTTGCTAGCAACCAACCTACAGCAATCTGTACGATTGCACGATTGGAAAATAGATATAAAATTAAGCTGTCTAACAGCCCTATCCCAATGAAATCTTCAAATACATCAGTATTCATCAAAGTTGTAAATCTTGAAGTTTAATTTTTCATATTAACTTATTCTCTTTTTTAGAAGTATTAAAACTTTCATCCCATAGTCACTTCCAATCATTTATATCTCTGTTGTTCGCACTTTAATATTTTTTTTTTTTTACATTTTCTTGACATGTTTTCCTCATTCGCATCCATGTCTGATGAAATGTTCAACTATCCACTGCTCTCTCTGCATGCCTCCCAGTAAGTGGGTGGGTGCACTCTCAGAACTGAGAGTGAACCATTACTTTTTTCAATTGACACCATTTCGCGGACACAACAATAAATTTTGAATCGTTGGCAATAAATTTAAATGTCATTGCATTAAATCGCAGTGAATTGCTGCGACACACATCCAGAGGAACACATTTACTATACCTGTGCTCCGTTGTGATGTGCTGCAGCACTTCCGGTATGATGTTGCAGGTCGCAAAATCCAGTTTGTAACATCAGCAAGTAGTATCCGTGACGTGTTGATCAGTAGTCAGTACCAGGCGTTGGTTGCAGCAGCATGCTTGCGTATATGTGCATTAGAGTGGTCCGAGAAAGAATTTTCAAATGTCAAACTCTCTGTCCCAGGATTTTTCTAAATGGAAAAAAGAATATCTGTAGTTTTGTTAAAAAAAAAAAAAATACATTTGAAACTGCCTCCAAGCCCATGAGGTTTTACATGTAAATATTTTATAGGGGGAAAAAACTCTTTTTGGTAAAAATGGTATTTATGGGTCCCTCTACTGCATTCTTTGGGGACTTTAAGCGACATATTAAAAAAGTTAGTATTGAAAAAGGGCTAAATGAATAGTGGGATATTGTTTTTGGAAGTCTCCTTTAGAGAAACAGAGTTTTTCAGTCGAAAAACATTGATTTTCAAGAATTCTATACCACTTCTACGAAAGAGTGAAACAGTTACAAATAAAATTTTTTATTTAAACAAAAAGGTACGGGCATTTCTTTTTGCATTTAGAAAATTCCTAAGGGGCAGAGCTTAGCATTTAAAATTTTCCCTCATATCTTAATAAACTTAAAATTTGTATCTTTATTGTTTTTTTTTTAATGTATTTATACAAAGCATGCATGTCTTTTAGTTCTATATAATAAGAGATTGGCGCTTACATATATGTTTGCTAGTGTTTGGCAGAGCCAATCCTCCGATTTGTGGCGTGCGTCTTGATGTTGTCACACAAAGGGGAGGGACCTACAGTTTTACGCCAACTCCGATCGGTGATTTTATTTTTGTGAGAAGCCTTTCTCGTGACAGAAATGTACTACAATATTTAGCTAGAAAGTTCCAGTATGGGCAACCATAGAAGGGAACTAATGCAAAGATTGGCATGTCGATATGAAAAATTAAAAAAAAAAATTGTTTAACCATTTTTTGCCTGCTTTGCGTATGACATTTAGCAACTGTTGCGTCAAGGACATCATTTTTATTATTAAATATTCCAAAGGCGCAAAGCAAACAAGTATGCCTGTATGTGTGAGTTATTTGTTTACTTATCCCCATCCAAACGGATAACAAAGATTATATTTCTGCAAAAGCGCAGCACAGGGTCATTTGGTGATTCCCAAAAAAAAGTATTTACGTGCATACCTGCATTGCATGTCCTTTCCGTAATTCAAATCCCATGGCGATCTGGAAACATATGTACATACATATGCATATACACATGCATCAAGTTGACTTTTGTTCAAGCATATGTATGCATCTATGATTATATTAGTGCCATGTGGAAATTTGTTGCTTTAGACTTATCGAGCCGTAGAGCTTGCTTTTTTATGCCCTGCAATTCGTAGCATACTATTCAGAAAAATCTTTTAGTTAATATAAGAAAAAGAGCTTTCTCTCAATTTGACAGCAAATATTTAAATTAATTAAAAACCACATCGCTACTACTATCACTGACGCACAATTGGACAAATGTTGAATATAAAAGTGGTCATAATTCGTTGAAACTTTGTTTACATAAGGATTACTTCACGGTGAGTTCAAAAATTAAATGGGTTTTCTGTACCGGTTAGCAATTTGGAAAGGCCGCTGGTTTTATGTGCCGGTTAACAATTTTCAGAGTTGTCACTAGAGCTCTTGACTATCTATTCGATTAACTGCTCACTATCGATTAGTCTGAAAATCGAGTAACCGAAATTATTCGAATATTAAAAGTGTTTCACATTAAAGATTTTGTTATTAAGTGAAGTTGACTATTTCTATTCGAGTCACCGCTTAGTCGACTAAGAAGGGCAATACTACTTTCTATTATGATGATTTTAGAAATTAAAGCTGGTTTTTTACATGTCACCAATTTAAAAAAATCCGAATATTTAGTACCGGTTATAAGTTTTCGTAATAGGTACCCGGTACAAAGAAAAATCTATTTCAATTTTGAAATCACCGTGAAGTAATCCTTGTAGGACTAAATTTTCAACAAATAGCATTTGTCCATTTCTGCGTCAGGCATAGTATCAGCGATGCGGTAACTAAGGTAACTAACCCGTAATGGTTAACGGGGTCCAGTGGACCCCATCCCAACTTTTCGGATATATATTTTATATAAAAACCATTTAAAATCGATTTTGTGACTTCACCTCTTGTTACTAGATTTAAATCAATAATTTCAGGCCGTTTGGAAAACCAATACTGGTATGTACATAGTGCATCGATAGTGGTAGACATGGTAGACTATAAATCCGTTTATCTACGCTATTGTAGTTTATCAGATAACAAGAGAAAGTTTTAAGCTTAAGCTCAGCGTAGGATTCGAGGTCGATATATAAAATAGAACGTACGTGGCATATATTTATTGGATGGGGTCCACTAGACCCCGTGTGGTCATTACGCTATTTTTTGGAGGTGTGGCCATCACGGGTTAATTAAATTTTTTTCTGGCAAATTGAGAGATAGCACATTTTCTTATATTTATTAAATTAATTTTCTGTACCTTTTTATCCTCAGCGGAATTTTTTACAGATACACCTAAAAGTTTATTTTACCATATTTCCTACTGGGCACTTGTGAGCTTTTGCATAGATATGCATCTTCCTGCAAGTTTAATTAAACCTGAAAAAGTCACACTCGACACAGCTAAGTAAATATATTCCACGGAACAAGTGTACAAACAACGGCTGAGAGTCAATAAAGCTTAATGCATATAAAAGGTGTTCAATTGTTGAATAACAATATGAAAGCCATGACAGGTAAAAATTTTGGCTTTTTGGCTATTATGTAACCTACAAATAAAATGGTAAGAGAATATATTTCGACAAGGTATGTACATATAGGTAAGCGCTGAAACAAAAGCAAAATATTTGTCGCTTCTGCGGACTGAAATTCGAACAAGAAGGTTTTGATTTCTACATACAATGGGAAAAAAGGTTGTCTCTTAATATCGAGAAAATTCTAGAGGTAGGTTTAAAGTGTTTAACTGTATTCTATTGAGGAAACAGGCACACCTAGGCAAAGAAATTGTGATTTCTTGTGGTAGGCATTCATGACAACTCCATTTGCCTTACTGCCTTGAAGAGGATGAGCGGCGGAATCATGTGTGTGCCTCTTCCACGACTTTGCAATGCTATGGTTTGAGGATGGCAGCGACGTGTTCAGAGACGAACAACTGATCTCTTCGATACCCAAAAATCTGCTTCAACTTCAACGAGTTGTCTTTAGTCCCGTCTGCTCAATGACAGCAAGTAACTAGATAGATCTTCTGAGATTGAAAGCATCATGAGGTTTGCCCCCCGGCAGTCGTCGTCGATAACTTACTAATCTTAATCGAGCCGAAACACCTCCGTAATCAACCCCCACCTCCCCCCATTCTTCTGCGGCCTTTTCTTTCCATTATTTAGAATTAAAGTCCGACGAATGTGCAACTTTTTTGTCAAAATTACATTTGAGAAATACTTAACTAAATAAATTTTGAAACACTGTTTATTATCTAAGTACTTAGCAACTAAAACCGCTCTTTACTTTGTCATTTTTATAACCCCTCAAATTTTGCTGCCCTTTCTCATTCACAGATTCCATCTCGCGCTCTCAACACTATGCAAAAATTGAGCGCACTCGATTTCGATTACAATGAAATAGTACGCATCGAAGATTACAGCTTTTATGGGCTTCGCTTATCGAAACTCAACATGAAAGGCAATCAGCTGCAGTCGATACCCGAGCATGCGTTCGCCGGCCTAGAGGAATCCATACAGGAGATTGATTTATCAGAGAATGCGTTGCGCACATTTCCGCTGCTGGCGTTACGCAAACTCGACTACTTGCGTACTCTGCGTCTATCAAACAATAAAATCTCCACATTCTATGGTGACATAGCGCTAGTGACGAACAACGCTTCAGCTGCGGCGGCAGTGCTCCGACTACCTTCATTGGTATTCTTAGACTTGAGCTCGAACCAGTTCACGGAGATCGTGAACGATTGCTTCGGCGCTTTTCCGCAATTGAAGACGCTTTCTTTGTACGCTAATCAAATTGAACTTGTACAACCGGATGCGTTTAAAAGCTTGAAGGAGCTGATGTCGCTCGACATGTCACACAATCGCATCATTGCGTTGGATGCAAAAATTTTCGATCAGAATAAGCGCTTGCAGACAGTGGATCTGAGTCACAATCATGTGCATTCAATAAGTGGCGTGTTCTCAAACTTGCCGCAGCTGCGCGAGGTCTTCCTATCCGAGAATAACATACTCGAGCTGCCGGCGGATGCTTTTACAAACTCATCCAACGTGGATGTCATTTACCTGGAATCGAATGCCATTGCCCATATTGACCCGAATGTATTTAGCACGCTTGTGAATCTGGACCATCTGTATTTGCGTTCGAATTTCATACCATTAGTGCCTGTAACGCTGTTTAATAAGTGCCAGAAACTCTCCTCACTTTCGTTGGACAACAATGAAATACAAGATCTTGAAATCGGCATGTTCCGGAAGCTGGAGTTCCTGCGCGAAGTGAGACTACACAACAATCGTATACGACGCATACGTAAAGGAGTTTTCGAGCCACTGCCTGCATTGCAGGAGCTACATGTGCAGAAGAACAACGTTGAGGACATCGAGCCGGGCGCCTTTCAGAGCCTTTCCAATTTGCAGCACATCAACTTGCAGGATAACCAGCTGACTGTGCTGGAAGATATCTTCCCAAATGAAAAGACAAACTCCTCGCTTCTCTCCATACAACTGGAAGCAAATTATCTGCACAAGATCCATACGAAGACCTTTCGCAAGCAAGAGCGTATACAAATCATGTGGCTGCGTGACAACCAGCTGACCCGAGTAGACAAATCAATGTTTGTGGACCTGCAGCTGCTCGGACGATTGTACCTCAGCAACAACCAGATACGGGACATCGACAAGGATACATTTAGTACGCTGAAGCATTTAAAGTTTCTAGATCTGAGTGGTAATCGGCTGAAGCATGTGCGACGTGAGTACTTTGCGCCATTGGCGAGCTTGGAAGAACTCAGTCTTTCGCAAAACTACATTGAGGCTGTAGAGAGTTATTCCTTTAATAAATTAAAAAACATAAGGGTGCTCGACCTTTCCAACAATCCACTGGTGCAACTAACAAAAGATATTTTTATGGACGAACTGCCTTTGACATATTTGAATCTGCGCAACACCTCGCTGCGTAAAATTGAGCTGCACACATTCAAGTCGCTACAGAATCTAAACGAACTCAACTTTGAAGAGAACCAGCTAAATCCTGCAGACATACAAAAACTGGAAGTGCCCAGTCTGCGCAGCCTCTTCCTCTCGCACAACGACTTTAGTCAGGCCAGGGTTGGCGGCATAATGGCCGATATGTTCGACAAGATGCGCTCGCTACAATTGCTCACAATGGCCAACTGCAGTTTGGAAAGTGTGCCAGATCAAATATTCTCAAAGAATACAAATCTGGTTAAGCTTGATCTTTGCGACAACAGATTAACGGTTATGAATCGCAACATCTTCAGTGGCCTCAATGTGTTCAAAGAGTTGCGATTGTGCAATAACCAGATCTCCGAATTCCCGCACATTGCGCTCTACAATTTGAGCACGCTGGAGACTTTGGATTTGTCACGCAATCAGCTAAGCTCCGTCGACTTCTTCAAATTAAGTGGCACTTTGAATTTGCGGCAACTCAATTTGCATGATAACAAAATCACTTCGTTGAGTGGCTTCAATGCGGTTAACCTCACACAGTTGGACAGCATCGATCTTAGCGGCAATCTTTTGCTATCACTGCCCGCGAATTTTCTTCGTCATTCGATTAATTTGCAACGCGTTGATCTCTCGAGCAATCGCTTCTTACAGCTGCCGAGCTCAGCGTTGTCAGACATCTCGATACCGCGTTTATCTTGGCTCAATCTTACAGGAAACCCAATAAACAAGATTTACACGGTGAAGGAGGAGCGCTACCCATATCTCAAAGAGCTTTATATCTGCCAAACGAATTTATCCATACTGACCTCGAAAGACTTTGAAGCTTTTCAGGCGTTACAGCATCTACATTTGGTCAATAATCGCATTACGCGCATCTCACCCGGCGCCTTTAAGTCGCTCACAAATCTGCTGACGTTGGACCTCAGCGTGAATGAATTGGAAATGTTGCCAAAAGAACGTCTGCAGGGCTTGAGGCTGCTACGCTTTCTGAATATTTCTCACAATACGCTGAAGGATTTGGAAGAGTTTAGCAGTGATTTAGCGCAGTTGCAGACATTCGATTTGTCCTTCAATCAATTGGATCGTATATCGAAGAAGACTTTCCGCAACTTGCATGGTTTGATGGAACTTTATCTGATGGGCAATCGCATGACTGTTTTGTCGACTGATGCTTTTCGCTTCCTAAGAAAACTGCATGTACTCGATTTGCGTAAGAACTACTTCGAGCTGGTGCCGATTGAAGCGCTCAAACCACTGGAGACAAATATAAAAACACTAAAACTGGAAGGTAAGTAACGCACCACGTATTTGAGCTTAATTAAGTTTTGATCTTTAAATTACAATTTTTTTATATAAGGGTGGTGATTTCATAGCAATCCATTTTTTTTACTCATAAGCGGAAAAAATAGATACATACATTTCGTTCAAAATCGGTTGACTATTACTTTTTAAATATAACTTACACTTTTACGCTATTTCTGGGAATGCCCGCTAAACTAACATGAGGGTTGTGAAGGATACCTACGCTAGCAGTTACGGGTACAAGAATTTACACATTCTCTCTAATGGAAAATTCCGACTCGGTAATGGCTATGCCTTGCTATTTCCACGTGTGGCCAGGATTGCGTTCTTATTCTTATTTGACACAATCGTTTTATGGAGGCATGTGGCAGGCCTGACTCATGAAAAAGCTGCGGGACAAAAATAAACCATTGATTTAAGAGGCCCGAAAATACGGTCGAAGGGCCTTCAATCTCGCTTAATCCCCTCGAGAATAATATTCAATAGGAAATCTATAAGTTAAACTTAAGCGATTATAAGAAGTAGAAAGCAAAAAGTCCTCATAAAGGAACTTTCGAAGTTATTTTGAATCTATATCAGGCTCCAGTAGGTAATCTCCAATTCATCTTGATTCATCCCGGTATGTTTGCTAAAATCCAACGCGACATGAACGAATATTGGTAAAGAATCCCTGGATTTTTTAGGCGTCTAATAGAAAATGGTCAGCCACGTGCAGCTGATTACCTTAAAAAAGAAACACTAATTTGGACAATAGGCGTTTTTTAAACCCTATAAAACCACAGGTACAGATGCCGTTTCAGCTGCAGCGATCATTGGAGCTAAGCCCTAAATAATTTCATGCCTTTTTAAGAGAGTTCTTACCTTCAACCACATTCCGGAGATGTGAAAAAGGTCAAGGTTTGTCTCTAATCTCAAAATCTTTAATGATAAAGGAGTACACACTGACAGAGTTCTTTTACATCGGGGCTGCTTTCAGCAATAGTAGCTACGGCAATCATGTCGGCTATGGGCATCAACTTACAGCACTAACAGATAGGGTTATAGGGACGGTACTGGCAAGAGCATTAGCGGGACAGAGATGTGAGCAAGGAAACCCCGCAGGGCGTGGTCCTTGGAGAGGGCTACCTGCCATAGGCAATACAATACTGGAGCTAGCGGAATCCGCAAAATGCTTAAACTTAGTAGTGGACAAAAAGCTAAACTGATCGCAATATATATATAATATTATTCAAAGCTGGGTGTACCGCTTTGATACTGGGGAAATTACCAGGATGCGGAGTTACTCAAACTGGCGACTACGCAATTTCAGGGCATATTGACTTATCATGCACGCACTACTATGCACCAAGGCTACCTTTTTCAAAAATGTATAGGGTTCTATTCAAGATTTTGGTCAAGTGAGACTCCTAGAAAAAATGCATCACTTGACTTCGACTATGATGTAAGAGGTGGAGTCTTCTCAGCACATACCCGACCAATGCGACACTCAAAGCAGTCGACTAGGTCACATAAAACTCAAAAACCCTGGCGGACTCTCTTAGATCCCCAAAAAGAATTGCTAAGCAGTTTGCTCTTACGAGGCAACGAGCAGGCGAACAAATTTGCAAGAAAGAGCCATCATCTCCACACTCGAAGTTTTGTAAGTGTTTAGGCATGATGCTCGCTACCTCCAAGCTCTTTCTAAGATGCTTAAGTGTATCTCTTAAAAGAGCACGTGATATATGGACATGTCTAATCACTAGCAGCAAGACAAAACTCATGTGACCAGAACTTCTCACGCTGGGCAGAAAGGTTTTGTGTACAGAAATGAACTTGCTAATAGGCCCTAATTCCATCGGAAGGCACGCGAAGACGTTGGAACTCATGGGTTCAGAAATTTTCGAGGACTTCACTGAAATAGCTGATATAGGAATGTGACATATATTAGGTTTCGCGCAGACTCCACACGACAATTTGAGTAAGTACCACAATGAGCCCAAAAATACGGGCCTAAGTGTGCTGATTTGGTCATTAGCAGCCACTTCACCATAGCCAGGCCTAACCTAAGCTTATTTGGCACTACAACAATTTACTGGCTAAGGCGGAGAATAGAAACTGCCTATATGCTTTACGAACTTCCGCAAAAAAAAATCTCTCTAAATCCCCATAGCCTTCTCATCTTTGTTCAAATCCGGAAACGATCTAGATGCGCCTTTTTCAGTGGGCATATGAGGAGGTGCTAAAGTATCGTGCCGGACATTTTGTTCATATTGAACACATTTTTGTAGTAGGTATTATCGGGGTTGATTCCGGACAGTTGGAAGTTTAGCCAGAATGGAGTTGCGTTAAAATAATGCAGAACTCACGAGCCCATTTGAGCTCTATTTCTGAGATGGATGGTTGTTGGCAATTCATGAACCTCATTAAGAGTTGTATTTTTATGAATATCGTTTAATGCGTGTCTATAGTTCATCTGGTTTAGCTGATGTTTTATGTTTTTTGAATCAAGTCCTTAAGATTGAAACAAACTAGATCTATTAAAATTCTAGGGTTGCAGAAAAATCAGCTTTTGTATATTTTAAACAAACAATACGAATTTGTCCGCATCACATAATCGAATATATAAAACGTACAGAATATAACTGGGCTAAACTAAATACATTAAATATAACCTTTTATTCATTATTTTTTATTAAGTACTTTTTAACTACATATGTATATTTGAGCAGTAAAACCCCTTTTTTATATACATTTCTCTTTTTCACTGTATTTCTGCAACCTCACAATTGGCTCAACGATGTGATATAAAAAACATATAACCACGACCATCAACTATTTGCAACTTTACTATATAAAAACAAAAATAAAATAAACTTCAACCACTAAATGTATACCGCCACTTACTTACTGCTCGGCGTCAAATGTCAACTGAAACAAATGATGCCACCTCAACTACAACTACAACTACAACTACAACGACCATCACATCGCACTTGTTTCAACTCATCAACGTCAACGTCAATACGAAAATGTCACGAATGCACTTGCCACTCGCCGGTAAATTGATGTTTTTGTATTGGCTTACTAACTATGTAGAAAATCCACTGCATTGCAGCTGTGATGCGCAAAAACTTTGGGAATGGTTGCGTGATCATCGAAAATGGTCACAGCAAGCTGGCGGTGATAATATTAATTACTTGAGGTGCGAACATCCAGCTGAATTGCGTGGCAAAGTATTTGCCAAAATGGAACCACAACAATTCTGTGATGCACCTTTGATACCGAAAATCGCCATACAGGACATTCAACCGTATTCGGTGGTGGTTTCGTGGTTAAGTCGTGAACATTTGGGTTTAACTGGTTATGAAATTGTCTATTATGCGACCGCAGATGGCATTGATTATGATGAGGTGAGTGAATAGCAATAATTAAGTTTGAAAATTAATCTTTGGTAGAATGATTAAAGGCAGTTATTTGCCTGTGTATTTGTGCGCAATAAGAAAAAATTAGATCAGGCCATTGGATTATTTTTTTTTTCCAACATATACGTTTTTCCTCTTCTTGCATAAACTGAAATTAATTCTGTAAAGTATATTGAACTGTAAGCCTACATCGGTAGGAAAAGCGATTTATACAACTATTTGCAGCAATAAAGATATGAATATACATGCATACAGTGGCAGGCAAACAAATAGTGACTTTGCTTATTTATTTATTTATTTTTTATTTAATGTTTATTCTTTTTTATAAGAGTACAGCTCACTATCTTACAAAAATCGTGTAAGTCCGAATTCGTAACTTCATAAAAAAAAAATTAGCAAAATTCGACAAAGTTTCATCAAAATTTCAAAATTTTTAACAAGACATTTTTTTATGCAGATTTGTAGCCCAATAAATTTCAGAACAATAAAGTGTAAGTTTTGAGTAGCCAAGATATTTGGCTTTTATTTGGTGATGGTTCTTCCATACAATGCATATCGACGGCTGAGTGGAAGATCGACCTATCTCAGCAGCGGTTGGTCAAAATTTGGTTGACTAACGCCCTGTTTCAGAATTCGGTTCAAATATGCCCTATCTCAACTGAAAATATATTGAAGATATGTTGAGATAGGGCGCTTTTGAATCGGCAGCTGAGATAAACCAAATTCTGAGATATGAAGTTCTTCAACGAAATTCTAAATACGGCGTTCTTGAAAAGTTTTCTGAGATAGGGCGTTTCCGAACTGCCTGCCAAGATATGTCGGTATTCCTCTCATTCGTCGATATGTTCGACGATTTTTTTATATGGAGGAAAATGCACAACACCGTTAACAAAAAAAAAATGCCAAAAAGCAACGGTAAGACCTAGTTACAAAACTGCATACATATATTTTTTATTTGAATAAAGAGTTAGGGCCGGTTACTCAATGTCTGGTTAACACTAATCTCCGGTTAAACATTGTTATCGACGTTATATGCATGGAGTCGAATTTGTCGATAACGATGTTTAACCGCAGATTAGTGTTAATCAGACATTGAGTAAACGGCCCTAAGCGATAAATTTATGAAATTTTCTTTTTGATTCAGAAATGCATCTAAAAGTGCTCGATTTGTTGAAATTCGTCGAACTCTTTTAAATTTTGTACAAAGTTTAAAATTTACTTGCATATTTTTGTTAATGCACAGGCATACGGCAGCGTTGATCCGGATCAACTCGTCAATTCGGAATTATCTCTAAGGAATTATCTGCACTTGATCCGGATAAAGTCCTAGAGTTAATTCCCAAAATTAATTCGGATCAAGGGAATTTTCGATGACAGGACTTTCCAAAACGGCCAAAAATAAACTTAGCAAACGGATTTAGCATCCGCAATAGCCGACTGGTCAGAACAGTGTACTACAATTTAGTAGGGAAAGGTAACATGGTCAGTGGAAACAAAGTCAATTGACACTATTTCGCATACAGGTGCGAGATAAAAATGCATTTTCAAAAGCGAAATAAAGTCAACAAAAATTTTGAAATAAAATAAATGATGATATTTCCTCATTCAAATGGAAATAGCGTCAACAATGCTCAAAGTATGTAGATGTAAAGACGCGGCCGCCGAGAAACTACGCAAAATTAATGTTTTAAAGAGCAATATTTATTTTATGTTATGAAAAGGTAATAATGTCAATTGACTTTATTTCGCACCAGTATGCGAAATAGTGTCAATTTACCTTTTTTCCGTTGATCTTATTACCTGTCACCTAATTCAGTAGCAGTATTTTTTTCATTCTAAATATTGTATAATTTTATCAAATTTTTTAATATTGTTTTGTTAATTTACATACGTCCCGGCTCGCTGGATCAGCAATACTACCGTTTGTTAGGGTACAGTATTGTATTGATCAAATCAACTGCGCCATTAATCCAGATCAACGTTGCCGCCTGTCTACGTTCTTATATTAATATTTAGTTATAAAAAACTAATAAACATAAAAACTAACAAAAGAGAAATAGCCAAGTATAATTACATAGAAGTATATCGATAAATATAAAAGCAAATACAACAATGAATACACGATACAGATATCGATTACACAGTGTATTCGGTGAATATATCGATAAGTGATAAGTATAGTGGGTGATATGAAAAGTCTGTGCGGATTTTTGGCAAACTATTTTGTAATTTTCTTTATTGAAAATCAATTTTAATCAAGTACATATTGGCCATTATTATCTATGACCTTTAGCCATTTTCAGGTAGCTTCATAATTCCAGTGGTGTGGAAGTTTATCTTTGATTTATCGCCGAGAAACTTGTCCAAGTGAGATGCGGTCGGCCAATTTTTTAGCTTAAAGAGATGGGAATTGTGCGGTTGTAATTTTTATTAAAGTTGTTTTGGTTTGACTCAGTAAGTTACATTTATTAAGCAACCCAGCATTGAGACTTCCAAACCAAGCTACGTCAATATATCCTTAGTTATCAGGAATTTGTGTGACACCTTTTTTGTTTGCCAAATCTGGTCGCTCTTTCCTGATTGCTTCACTCAAAACAGTCGAGTTATGCACAATTGATCGTTTCGCTACATTGTAGTAGTTCAATGAAAAATTCCCTTCCAAGTCTATCAAACACCCAGCAAAACTTTGTTTGCCTTCAATCCCGGTTATCGGTCTTTGGCCATGGTCACTTGCGTTGCCTATTCTCGCATTCAATCCATTTTCGATTTCGTTGCATTTCAGCACCGTTTCACAGATGGCCATTCAGATTGTCAGTCAGATCTCTTTGCATTAATTCATGTGGCAACCCAAGCATCGAGCTTCTTTGAGTAGCCTGTTTGTTGTTATTGTGACAGCATACAAATCACCCAGAGAGTTGTTGGAAAATGATGCTCGAGTGGCAGTTCTTGGTCAAATATTAATCTGGTTTGTTCCGATTATATGGCCCCGACTGCCGTAGCAATGCGATAAGCCTGCTCTCAGATGTGTTTGACATTTAGTGACTCCGCAATCTCGTGACAGCTTGCATGCCACATAACCATCGCAACATCGCAAAAAATATAGATTTTTTTTTTTTACCAGCGGTCGCTCCTCTGCAGGCAATGAAAAACCTCCGAGTTTATTTCTACCATGAAAAACAGCTTCTCATAAAATTGCAATTGCCGTTCGGAGTCGGAGTAGCCCCTCTTTTTTGTGTGATAACACCAAGGCGCGTGCAACAATTTGGAGGAGAAGCTCGACCAAACACTAACACATTTGCTAGCGCCTTTCTATTTTTATTATTAACTAAAATCTTCTCTCAGTGCACAGCACTCCGTAGAATCAACAAATTTGCCGGCATATGTTTGCAGAGTTTTCACCTTTTTTATAGTGGAAAATGTACCGCCTAGCGAATGTCTTCTCTCATTTTCAAATTAATATAAATTTTTCCACAGAAATATCTTCACAAAAAATGTAGCCTAAACACCACATAGTGACAAAAGTCCGCAGAAACTTTACATGTGACCCAATATATAACGAAAATGAAAATTATAGATACTTCATTTGATAACTGTTAACTTTTTATTCATCTATTGATTCGAAATATTCCCCATTCCCCAGAATCGCACATATCGCTTAATTGTGCTTTTGTTTTACTCATGCGCTTACAGTACAAATATATATTGATTACCAATTTCAATATGTTCAATGCTCCCACATACATATGTATATGCATATGAACATTAGGGTATATCACTATCTACACGAAAAAATAGGTACTGTTTTTCCACAAGAAATATTAAATTTATTATATTTTGAGACTTCCGCCAAAATATCACGGAAAATATTAAGCTTAACGTGAGCTGGGCCTATTTGAAACTACCTTTAAAAAGCGATTTTTTTATTAAGAAAATTAGTTTTTAAAACTTTTTGTTCTAAAAAATCACCTCATATGATATCTTAATATTTTCCAAAATATTTTGACGAAAGTCTTGAAATATAACAAGATTAATATTTTCGACGAAAAAACCGCAACTCTTTTGGTGATGCACCCTAACGTACATACATGCATCCCCTTTTACACTAAAAAAAATAAATATTTTCCAATCAACCTCTTTGTGTTCATTCTCCACAGATGCGTGGT